GATCATTGCTGCCATTCATTCACTGGAATACTGTAGAATGTTTAGCTATAACACTCCAGGTAAATATTTACAATTTTACAATAAAATTAAAATTAGAATACCTCGTATCAATTCTTCTCATGTGTAGATGGTCCCTCTCTCCTACAAACCCTGTCCCTGTCTTCATTTCATAAGATCTCAGTCTCTCCTGATTTAATGAAACTCTGTATCTCCACTAAAACCCACCACATCATTGCTGTCGATTTAGGTATTTATTTTACCATGTTCTACTCGCATTATTCTAAAATTTCCATCAAAAGTCGACGAAGAGGGTCCCACCCATCCAGTGGCTCCAGGCCCCGCCCATCAGCCAAGAGGAGGAGCTAGAGAGAGGGAGGTATGATGGACTGATAAGACGAGAAAAAGGAGCAAAATACGTCGGACCTTTTGTTGACCATTTTTCCGTTGCTAAGCAATGCAGTAGACTAATGAGGAACATTGATAGGATGAATTTTAACGAGGGGCGTGGCCTCTCATTGGGTGGGGTTTTCAAACTACTGAAGAACACGACAAACCAGTCAAACTGGTTTTAGACGACAAGTGGTACATGACTAGTAGAGGGGCGTGGCTTGGTAAATGAGTGGGTGGAGACTGGGAGGAGTCTAGCAATGTTTATATAACTAGTATGAGAAAAACTAAACTGTTGAATATAAAAAAGGAGGACATGTTCTCAAGCCACACCCACTCCGGCACTAGTTACCCCATACAGTGTATACTCCCTCCAGCTGAAGGTCATGTGATCAGTGACTCTGCCCTATTGTACCCCCACTATAATAACGGATTGGTAATAGTGCATTATGATAAGAATGGGAATAAAAAAATGAGGAATGAAGAACAGGAACCAAAAACTACCAATTTACTTGTCATTTATAAGGTTCTGAGAGATACTATTTATTAGCCGATTGAGTCATTAAATATAATTAATTGATGGTGTGGTCTTATAACATACTTTTTAGTTTGTCGTGTTGGAACTAGTTGATCCTGCCCACTAATGAAGACAAACCAGTTTATCTGGTTTCTGATAGTTCACTATAAGTGTCGGCTTTCCTTTTATCACAAGAAGACTTTGTTAGCAAAAGTAATTAATTCATTTATTATTGTTATTATTATTATTATTATTATTATTATCATTAGGTGTTAATGTATGGTAGTGTGTCAGTAGCTGAGGAGGTGTGTCACTTGAACCGCTGGGACCAATGTTCCCTCCCTCTCAATGCACTGGAGACTGGAACTGAGGCAGTTGGACGTAGTGTCATTCTTCCTTAAGGAACAGAGGTAAAGGATATACTATTTATAGTAACACTGATACTATTTATAGTGGTGATAAATTATGCTATTTATAGTAACACTCATTCTGATACTATTTACAGCAAGAACTATAAGAATGGCATTATAGTAAATTGTTTACAGTAGATACAATGCTAATGTACACATGTAGTAACATAAACATGTTGTTGGACTCAATAATTATAAACTTTTACTTTCATAATTGTGATTTGTGTAACTTTAGGCCTTGTGTACACAACTACACTGGTCTAATCTACATTGTTTTTGCTATTAAGGCGGATTTACAATATGACATTAGGCCAGCGTACCGTCAATTTTTAATCAAAAATGTGGGCGATTTGACCTTTTGACGCATGCTTTCCGCTGGAATAGAACCAGGTTCTATTCCAGCGTCAACGTAATGTCAGGACTAGCGTAATATTGTAAATCCGCCTTTACTGTTTTCAGTGTTTAGATTAATGCAGCAGCTGCATTTTCATTACAATTTATCATTTGTTTATAGAAGCATCTGTTTTGATATTTTATTAGACCTATACAAACCTATATTTCCTTTTAGTAGGGCTTGCTTTGGCTGGTGCACTTAATGTAGTCATGTTAAATAATAGAATAAGAACTAAACAAAATAAAACAATTACACAGAGAAACTAGTCAATCAACTATTTTGCTGTGAAATATTTATCTTTAATGTAACTAGCAATAGATTTTTCTTCTATTGTATCCAGTGCTGTAGCTAATGATGACCAACTGGGACCTCCTTTCTCTCTCACTTTATCTTCTCCTCTTAACCAGGCAGACATACAAGCATGAAAACATTCCTCTGACTGTCCTCTATAGTCAGTGTCTATATCCACTAGTCTAGGATCATATAATCCTAACTGTAGACCTAGTCTCCGCCATACAGAACAGGACAAGTGTTGATCTGATGTTAATACTTTAATGACAATGTCGAGATTGTTAATATCTATAAAAAATAATAATTAATAATGTGTATATACACTGTACAGTCTACACTCCCACTACTTGACAATTGTGATGGTACATGTTATAACATACCTAGCTTTATTGGAGTCAATGGTGTCTTGAATTCTTCAGTTATTTCAATCACTTCCTATACAATAATAATAATAATAATAACTGATATTTGTCACTGTGCTTGTTTATCAACATCAGTAGTGTATTGCTGAAAGGTAAGTTTAACAGATGTACAAGTTTATATTATTAGTAGTAAAAGCCACACAATGACAACCCACAATTATGACAAAGAATGAGTAATTTTGATAGGAAATAAAAATTACTTTTAAGATATGACCTTTTGATTATTAGTGCTTGTATTAATGTATCAAATAGTTTGTGTGTGTTAATTCTTACCTTAATATCACGTCCTCCTAATAGTGACAGGTTACTAATATCTGATAATGATTCATCAGTTAAGATCTCCTTCAATTCTGTTTGTCCTTTATCACTCACAAGAAATGGTTTCCTTTTCTTAATCGCCAACAGTACATTATATATGCCATAAGTTGTCCTTTCTCTTGGTGTATTCACAGGATAGGCTAGTTCTTTTGGATCAATAACTAACTCTTTTACCTCTAGACTGGGACAGGATTCTTTATAAACACTCATTACCTCTCCTATCACATCTCTTCTTAGAGACACCATATTGTCACTATAACCTTTCTTGCAGGACATCATTACTAGTACACACTGGCTCTCATCCACAATTTCTACTAATACTCTTACACCATTGTCATCAAACCAGTGAAGACCATTTCTCCAAAATGTACAGTAACGATTTAACTTATCATCTTCTTGAGGTAGAGCCATTTTATAAGCAAGACGTAATGAGAGGACGTGGAAGTATCGAGGAGGAAAGAAATGATGTTTACTAGTACACTGTAGACACCAACCAAACTGGTACACTTCACTAGTCATCTCATCAGGTCTATCAGTAGACAAAAGGCATGGAAAGTGCAGCAACCTTTCTCCTCTTCTTTCTGTCCCTCCCTCATCCTCCTCTTCCACTGCTAACTGATTGAGGTTTGTCATACTTAGGAAAGATGGATTAATTTCTTGACAGAGTTCCATGTTATTTAGAAAACGAATCAACATGTCGGGATCATAATTAAGGAAGAGTCTAGTCAGACCAGACACACTAACAATACCAGTATTGCTAGCAATGTCAACGTGTTCTTTAAATGTCTCTGGAGCAAAGAGAATCCCATTCACCTCAGTTAGTAGTATACCCTTATTCACAACAACCCATGCCTTGTCTTCACTTTTAAGGACACTGATCAAACCAGTTGAGTGCAACGGATGAAGAACATCCAAGACATCTTCTCTCTTATCTGGTATAAAATAATCATCATTGTCCTTACCAGCAGACATTACATCAGAGAGGGTCAATATATTCTCTATCCTTTCCTCCAGTAGACCATACATCATGTGACAATAAAGACTCAAATTCCTTCCACTTGTACTACGAATGGACTCACAGGCACTAGACAACTTATTAAAGAAGGAATCCACACCACTCCCACCAAGCTTACGACAATCTAAGAAGACACTATCACACCTTTCCCTTACAATAATGTCCTGTATTTCTTTCTTTCTCCTTCTCCTTTCAACAGGATTGCTTATCTCATCCACATGACTGACTGTTACAATAACATGGCATTGATTAAGAGCTTTTTGTGCTTCATTTCTGACAACTGTTAGCCACTGATGAAGCTGTTTGACTGGTTCCTTCTCCAATATATTGACTACTATCAGGAACACACCACCAGAACCTTGTAAGAGATTCTCAATGACAGCACTATGGCTGGAGTAGTATTCGGAATGACCAGCAAAATCATGAAGAATGATGTTACCCAGTGTCCTGTGTTGTAGTTTATAAGGAATGATACCAGCAGTACAGGGCACTACCCCTCCAACATTTCTAAAGGAACCAAGAACAATAGAACCAGTAGCTGTGTCATTGATGACATGACTAAGAGTACTTTTACCAGCTCCAGGATTACCCACAAGGAGGACGTTAACATAAGAATCAATTGGATGAGATGATTTTATATCACCAAACTTCTTAAAGATAGTTAGAATATTAGTTCCTCCTTTTAGCAGCTTCTGTTTAGCTAGTTGTAATGGTGTTCTTCCCTCATTGTCTTCAGCCAATGGATCACATTTACCAGTTGATAGTAAATATTCAACAGTTACAGAATCACCCCAACGAGCAGCATAGTGAAGAGGTGTCCATCCCCTCTTGTCAACAATCATTGGATCAGAGTTACACTCGTTGATTAGATATTTGATTACAAAATTTGAGTTGTACACTACAGCTGCTTTATGAAGAACAGTCTCACCCCTACGGTTAGTAGCTATTGGATCACAGCGATGCTCTTCAATGAGATATCTCATCACATCAACATGATTACCTAGTGCTGCCCAATGAAGGCAAGTCTGGTCATGACTATCTCTTTCCTGTGGGTCACAGTGATATTTAGTGATGAGATCTTTTGTAACATCTAACCAGCCATTCCTTGCAGACAAATGAAGTAAACTAGTGTTATTCCATCCCATATATTTTCTTTTAATTTTATTTGGTTCCTTCACTAATGGTAGTAAGTGAACAGCTTCTTTATGAGCTCTATCCTGAAACTCAACCCAACACTTGTCCTCTACTGACATCTTGTGGTTTTGTGATTAGTTAATTAGATTCATTGTTACCATATTAGGAATGGGAGTTCATTATGCATACACTACACACACACACACACACACACACACACACACACACACACTTAACTAAGGTGAAGGGGAGAGGACATAGAAAGAATAACATGCATACCTACTGCCTCAGCAATCTGCTTAATATTTATAGAAATAAAATTTACTAGAAAGAATGTAAAACTGAGGGGGCTGGCTCTGCCTCCTTACCACACCTCCAAGTCACACCCCTAAACATACGCATGCATACAGAAATTCTTTTAAGTAAGGGCTTTGCCCAATAATAATAATGGTTTTATATAACATATTAAGAGATCATGTAGTCATGTTTCTTCTCCAAAATCTTCATTATTTTTAATTGCCTAATCCTTTCTGACAATCATCACATAACTTGTTATAAGTTTCCCTTCCCTCCTGTCTCTAATAAATGAGTACTTTATGTATTCTTACTCTTCAAATCACTAGCTATAAGCACCTCCCTCAGCTCTTCCTTTCCTCCTCCTCCCCTCCTCTGATAACCTACACTACTGTATAGTCTCAAGCTTCTTCCAACAGATCTCTAGTGGTACATGTAACAATGAGTAATGGGACAAAGGAGGTAGCACCTGTTCAAAGGGACTTAGTGTTCACATAATCACTTGAAATTAAGGAATTAAATCAAATTGGTCATTAAAGGCTGGTTTATAATATTACACAAGTCCTGAAGTTACGTAGATTCTGGAATAGAATCTGGTTCTGTTTTAGTGGAAATGCATTAAAAGGTCAAATTACCCACACTTTTGATTAAAAATTGATAGTTCGTTGGCCTAATGTCATATTGTGAACTAGCCTTAAGAAACTCATGGTTTAGTTTGACCTTTTGATGCATGCTTTAAGAGTATAACTGAATTCAACTTCAGTGGCAATGTAATAATAGGACTAGTACAATATTGTAAATTCATCTCTCCACAAAATGGATACAAGGTCAAAATTAATAGCTGACACAGCCAATAACTATACAACAACCCACTAATGTGCAATTCAGACAGATTTAGTCCATTACACAATTACTAATTTTAGTATTTAATTAACATTTTTGTTATTAATTTATTTATGTGTCACTATAATTTTGATATCCATGCTTAAATTAGACCATGCATTTAAATCTAAACCGGAGAATTCATTGTATCTGATAGCGTCAAGTATATTTTCTTGCCTGTTTCTTTACTTGTTAATGTATAACAATAATGAATAAATATAAACACAACTAATGCATTTACTTAATTCCTCATGCATGTACACTATTAAGTTATTAGTTAGCTATTTATTTTCTTGAGTATTTTAATTGAACAGTCCAAAGAGGTTCACAAATGATGTCATTGTATGTGTTTCACATCATCTCTTCAAGATTTTTTATTTCCTGACCATTACACCAATGAACTATAACAGCTTTCTTCAGTTTGATGACACCACATCTCTTCCAGTCATTATACAATATTGGTAAAGGATCATCTCCACTGTACCTTACTATTCATTGAAGGTAAGGTGGTTAAGTTGGTGACAGTGAATTAAAATGTAACGGGCCAATTTAACTTAACAACTTCCAAAATAACACACACCAAAATGGCAAGAATTAATGAC